TTTGGGACCCTGAGCCCCCTACATGCACTCTTCCATGATGCTGCCTCTCTGCCTAGAGCCCACCCAGCCCTCCTACACTCGCTGGTTCCTGTGATGCTGCTGTGCTGCTGCCCAGATGAGGCTCCAGCAACAACTGCAGAACGCACAGGTACACGGCAGGTCAAGGCCCACACGCCCCAAACCAAGCTCCAATCCTCACCATCACCCCGTGGAGGGCGAGTCTGTCTGTCTGACTGTCTGCCCAGCATGCAGATCAAGAGCCTCCCTGAGGATCCGGACTCCTCTTCCTTAAACACTCACATCGGATCCATCAGCAAATCCTGTTACTTCTTCCTTCCAAGTAAATGCCTCCACCCTGTCAGGCCCCGCAAACGCTTCCCTGTCTGCCTCCCACCCTGGCCTGTCCTAACATTACACTGAGCAAGCGTTCACCAAACTTGTCACCACAGGCCTCTGCCCTGCCTCACGTGACCCTGGCTTCTGTTCTCCTCTGGGAAGCAGAGTACTGCAGGGGCTGGGAGTTTTGTGTGGCTTTCACCCTGTCACTCCCACACCCTACTGCCCTCCTCTATATACCTGCTCTGGCCTCCGGCTCCCCCCACCTGGCCTGCTCCCGCTACCTGATCTGCCCCAGCTGGCCTGCCTCCCCCACCTTGCCTGGCCCCCCCGCTGCCTGGCCTGCTCCTCCCACCTGGCTGGCCTCCCAACGTGGCGTGTCCCCCATACCTGCTGCTCTTTCTCCAGAAGAGTGCACAACTGATTCCTCCCCTCCTCAAGTCCAGTCTACTTGCACCTTCTCAGGGCCCTTCCTGGTCACCCCACTTCACCCTGCACTGTCGACCGCCTGCCTGTGTTGGGTTTCATCTCCTCTCCAGGGAATCCATCATTTCTTGTCACACTTACGCACACTGTTGACCGGCCATCCACTGCCCCCACTGACACAGGTGCCCAGGAGAAGGCCTGTGTCCTTAGCGTCCAGCAGGAGTGTGTGAAGCTCACCTTGAGTGCCAGGCAGGTGGAGTGGCCTGGTGCCGTGCTGGCCTACCCTGCTGCTGTGCTGTGAAGCGACTGTGGCCGGGGGTACTGCAGAGGAGGAAGTTGGGGGCTGGCCTGGCTGGAGTCTTGGAAGCAGGGAGATTCCACTCTGCGGACAGGAAGGGGGTTCCTGCTGAGGGGGTACTGTGGCCCAGCCAGGAGCCTGGGACAGGCTGTCCAGGGCCACTGGATGCTCAATGGGTTCTGGTCCAGACTCTCGTCCTCCAGGACACAGCCTGAGAGTGAGGGGAGAACAATGCCCCTCACTAGGCTTTGGTCTGTTCACATCCCCTAGGCTACACCCACCTTCTAGAGGGTTCCATGAGCCCCAAGATCCCAGGTGGGGAGGCTGCACCTGAGCATGTGCAGCTGGGACAGGAGCCTCCACAGGGGCCCAGCGCCGCACAGAGGAGGTGCAGGCACACTTCCAGTCCTGCCTTCCAGGAGCAGGCTGCCCCTGTGCCCCAGGGCGCGGGTCCTTTGGTAGTTGACCACTGAGGGAAGGGAGGGTGTGGGCCTGATTCCACCCAGGGCTGCAGCACTGTGAAGGGCCGTGGCCGGGCTCCTTGAAGGTAAGCACAGGCGAATGACCTGCTTGTTGCAGACTGAGCTGAGGAGACAACTCCCTGAGTGGGAAGGGTGTGGACTCACTCCCCACCGTGGTGGCCTGGCCTGTGGTGCCCACAGCGGCAGTGGGTGAGGCAAGTCCACACATTAAAAACTGGCACTTTGGTGCCTGGGCAAGGAATGGAGTTTCCATTTTTGTCATTTTAAGTAGTGTTGTGGAAGTAAAAACAGAGTTAATGCAAGTTGGGGAGAGAGGGAATGAAATCTTAATTTGTATGGGTGAGGAGCCCGCACTTCTCTGATCAGCAGGCCAACCTCAGGGTGAGGCATCATGGGTGGGTATGGGAGTGCGGGGGTGGTGGGGGCGGTGCAGAGACGAGCCAGAGCCATTGGGGGGAAGTACATGACATTTATTGAACTCTGACGGTGCAGAAGGGCTTCCTGGCAGGTCCATGCCCTCTGGCCACCCTGGAAGACACCGGGGCCCATGAGTGTCCCCCCAGCACGTGGTGTCTCGGAGAAGTCAGGGCCCATGGCACCCTCTCAGGACCCTGACATCCTCAAGTCCCTCATCCCTGGCACTCCCCATAGGTGGCAGTAAAGGCACACCCAGATTCCAAGACAGGACCACAGGTGGAATGTGAGCCCAGAGGGCAGGCCCTGAGGGGAAACTGAGTCAGCACGACAGGGCATCTGAGAGAGGAGGAGTCTCAGAACAACTAGCTCCAGATGGCAGAGCAGGGACAGTTTACAGGAAATGCTGTCAAAATGTCAAACCAACTCCTAAAACAGACAGTTACACTGACTAAGGAACAATGTTTCTAAAATGTCACAGATGGGAACACCCCCAGAGCATTTAAAATAGTAGACACTGCATGCCAATGCATGAACAGATTGGAGCATAAATTAATATTTAAAGAGCAAAATCAGGGACAGAGCCTGGAGCATACATGTAGATATAGATAGAGATCTGCTTCGCTGTGTGTGTACACATATATCTACAGCATATGGCATTTTGTTAGTAAAGAAAATCCTCTCTATCGATATTTGCGAGGAAGGGCAGGCGGTCTGTACAGAGTGTACGAGCCAGGGCTGGCCGGCTTGAGCGGGTGCTGGCAGGATTAGAGCGCGCCCATCCCGGTGACCTCGGACGTCAGCCTGGAACAGACAAGGACACAGAGATGGGAGACCCATCACAATATTCTCATAAAACAGGTTAGAAGGAAGACAGGCAGGGCTGTGTGCATCCTTGCCACCCTGACGTGCATTTCCACTTCTGTGGGATAAAGTGCCCCCAGTCACTTTTCAGTGGCTGTGAATGGAGACAGCAGCACAGCACAGAGGCAGGGGGCACATCAGGACCGCCCACGGGGCCTTCCTTCCCTGCCCCCAGGGGACCCGCATGCCTGAGGGTGGGCTTGCTGCTTCTGGGTTCCAAAGACGCAGCCAAGCAGCCCCTAGGCCTGACCTCGGGGGTGCTTCCAGCCCACTAAGCTTCACTCTCCTTTTCTGAGAAGGGGCTTCACGGTTGTCACAGGAGTAAATGTGATGTGGGTCAGGGGCCTTTAGGCCCTCGGAGCATGGTTCCAGGTAGGGCTGTTACTGACGCGGTTGAGGCAGGTGCAGAGCAGGCCTCTGGAAGTTTCCCTGACAAGCCCTATCCCCAGACTCCAGATTTGCTGGCACCATGCTCCTGGGCCCCTGCCCTCTTGAGGTAGGATGGCCACAGATGGCTCTATATCTCAGCATGAGCCCTGTGGGATGTCAGATAAGAGGTGGGTGATGGGAAAGGATAAAGTCAGGGTCTCCCCATACAGCCCCCCACCCCATTCACCCGGTTGCTGGGAGCTTGGGCCCAGGGCCCACTTTGCCCATGCAGGGCTGAGTCCACTTGGAGGCCACGTCCAACCTCCTCCCACAAGCCCAGGTTGGGGGACTCTTGCACAAGCACATCTTGGGTAAGGAGGAGGGGGTTTTCCTTATGTCGAACCCCAGCTGTGAGCTGGTGGTGCTGGCATTGCAGGTCTATGTGGCAGGAGAGCAGTCACACTGCCCACATCAGCTCTGAACCCTCACATTTGCACAAAGGACACAAGGAAGGGAGAGGGCCTGCAGAGTTCTGTCCTGTCCCATCTTTAACTTTTCTATGAGGATGAAGAGTGATGACAAAAGGGCAATATACAAAAGCACCTCTTTCTAGACAATTCTGTGTGGACAAGGGTTAGGATTTCCAGGGTTTGCCGCCTCAAGGAGTCAACATCTAGAACTCATCATGGGCCACATGGGAACCTGCCATCCTGGAAAAGCTTTTACTAATTTCTTGGCCCTTTACCAGAGACTTCAGGTAAAAGGTCAAGGTGAGTGGGGTGGCCCGTGTCTATATGGAGACTGTCTGGCACATTCCGGCCCCAACATCCAGCCAGGAGAGAGAGGGCATCGAAGGGAGGCAGAGCGCGCAGCCCAGGCTCCCAAATGCCCTAACTCTGTCCAAGCCGAGAGGTAGGGCTCCAGGCCATGGCTAGCAAGTCCCTGTCTGAGGATCCTCTTGGAAATCCTTTGGCTTGAAAGGTGTGGATGCTCTTGGGAGGCACCCACCTGGCATTGATAAGATACTGGGCAAGGCTGATGTTGGCTGGGGTCCCCGTGATGGTGATCTGACGCTCTGATGATCCTTCAGTGGCGTTAGCAATTTTGATCTGAGCTCCAGACATCTGTCGAATTTCATTGATTTTGGTCCCTTGGCGTCCAATTATGCAGCCTATTAGCTAGAAAAAAGGATGGAGGGAACTTCTTAGAAAAAAGCCTAAGACAGCCCCCTACAGAGCAGATGCAGGGGCCCCTGGAGAAGCCTATGGACGCGGGGCACTCACTTTGGCCTCCACCCCAAGCCCTTGAGCTCAATGCTCTTGGAAGGAAGGGAACTGCCCAGCATGTGCCCACAAGATGAGCCTGGTCCAGGACACCTCTCAAGAGGTCAGGATCTACGGGCACCTGGGCCTCTGACTGCTGATCTCAACACTGCCTCTGCCTAGTGTCTCCCCGTGAGAAGCCCACCATTTGAGGGGTCCTAATCACATGGCCTCTCCACTTCACATTGGTGTCCCTTGGGGGCCCAGTCAGGAGTGACCCAGAAATGCACAGGGTGGATGTTGAGCAGGGAGGACGGATGCCAGCACCTTCTTGGCTGTGTCCTCAGGGAGAACAGCTCTGCCCAGAGAAGAAATGTCACAAGTGCTGTTGAAGGTCATTACTGCCTAAAACTGGTTTTTGGTGAACCCAGATGAAATTCCTAGGATGAATCAGGCATCTCCGTTCCTTTGCATTTTTGTGACCTCTCCTTAAAGATGGTATGCAGTGGCCTCTGGCCAAGGCAGTTGTCAAGACGAGGGCCTCCCCGATGTAGTGAAGGAAAGGAGCTGGGGCAACCCCAGAGCACAGGGTGCCCACAAGGGGGCTGGATTGCAGCTGGAGGTCTGGTCTTCTGTGTGGCAGCAGCTGCAGCTGTGGAGGCTTCTCCAGCTCACCCTGTTTATGTGTGGGGGAAACAACACAGACCCCCAGAAAAGACTACAGAGGAGCCAGCTATCTGGCATCTTTCAACTTTCGCCATGGGATGGAACAAAATCCCTTTGTTCACACACGGGCTGCTGAGCAGAGCTCTGGAGCAAGGACAGGAAAAGAAGTGGCTGAGGGAGTCCCAGGCGGGAGCTGGGACTGGGCACAGAGGGCATACATGCCCAAGTCTGCTTCCGACTCCACCTCCTGTGTGGCCGCTGGCCAGGTGGTGTCAGAACTGCGGTTCTGTTCCATGGAGGGCTGGGCAGGCTGTGAGGTAGCATGCTGGAGGGAAAGTGAACTTTCTGAACCCACCCGACAAGCACTGGGTCAACCGGTGGGACACTGATGCCCTGTGCACTAGTTCCTGTCCCTGAAGAGACCTGCAGGGTCTCAACTCTGCTCACTACCTCGGCTATAACAAGCCATCTCACTGGAGAAACCTTTCTTCTAGAGAACTCAGAGCTGCACCACTTCCTCGATCTCCTGCCAGCACCTTGGGGCCTCACCCACAGCTGCCCAGGCCCCAACCACAGCTGCCCAGACCCCACTCACAGCTTCCCAGGACCTGCCCACAGCCCACCCCACTCCCTGCTCAGGCCTCTGAGCCCAGTGCTCTTAGTTCCTGGCTCCCGAGGTCAGGCAGGTGCCTTCCTAACCTGGATATGATCATGTTAACGTGTCCAGCTGCATCCCCCTCCCTGCTGGCAGAGAGAGCTTGAGGGCTCATCTCCGACCAGGGCCAGGACAGGCAGCCCCTGGAGCTGTCTCCATAGTGAGGAAGAATGTGTTGACCCAGCATAAAATGACACACTCAGGAGGGTGCACCCAAGGGCCACTGCCTCCACTGACTTCCCCTCCCCACACCTCTCCCGGGCCACTTGCGGCCCTGTGCCTGGAGGCCGCTTCCCCTCAAGCACAAATAGTGGCGCGAGGGCCTGTGCACAGTGTGTCGCTTCTCCAACAAGCACGCTGGAGGAAGGCACCTTCCCTCTGGCACAAAGCCCTACACTCTCCTCAACGTGTCTCCCCGCTTTCCAACCGCCTGGTGCCAGCAGGGCCCTCACACTCCCTCCTTCTGGCCACACCCAGCCCTCTCCTTCTCCCTGGACTCAACACCGCAGGGACCTGGCTGCTCCACTCGCTGGCCCTTCTAGAGGGCAGCACCTTTGCAAAAGCCCTCCTGCCCTCCTCTAGGTGAGCGCTGGGGTCTGCATGCTGACGAGGAATCTCAGGCCGTCAGAGCACGCCCTCCTCGCTGACAGTTGCCAGGTGGACATGCAGCTCAGCTTGCTGTACCAGTGCCCTTAGCAGTTAGAAAGGGACGTGAGAAGTAACAGACCACTCTCCCCAGCCCTGCCCCTGGCCAGCTTGCTTACTGCAGGCAAGGAAGCTCACTGGGCCAAGCCCTACAGCCCCACAGGCCGTCCTACCTGGCCTCACCTCCCACCCTGCCAACATTCAGCCCAGAGATCACTCTCTCCGCTCACCGTTGTGTGCCTCCATTGCAAATTTAAAGAAAAACTATACAAATATTCTGAAATAAGGGGGCCCCTCTTAACTAGATGTCAAAGCCCAATCCCATGGGAACTGTGGTGGCACCTCTTACTCTAACCACTCTTTGTAGAGCCTCATTGTGATGTCTTAGACTCCTTTCCAGCAGAAGTCCCCAGGAGACTCTGAGGGTTAGGACTATGGAAAAGTGCCTAAGCCTCGGCAGGCAGATGCTTGGGGCTCAGGGCAGAGTGTGGGATGGCCATGGGCACCAAAGACCACGCAGCTGAGAGCAAGCTCTGATGTGGGAAGTGAGAGAAGCTCACAGTGACCATCAGAAGTGGAACGAGAGGCCTGGGGGTCTCCCTGATCTGGTCTGTGTGCCCAGTGGCCATACTGTGGACCTGTCAGTTGCAGATGTCCCTTCCATCAAGAAGTGCATTTTTGCAGGCAAGCTGAAGTGACCTGTAGATGTTGGCACGATCCGACTGCAACCAAGAGACAGATGTGGATGAGGTGACAGGCAAGGGACAGAACAAACATGTTTTATTTCCTTCCTTTTCTCCAAGGTGGCAGGTGGCCGCTGCATGCGGAACACTGACTCTGGAAGGGCTGCACCTGCACCTGCAGCCCAGACACCATTCCCTGTGAGGTTGGTGGGGAGCAGAAGGCCCCTTCCAAGAAGAAGGATGAAAGGCTGTGCTCCGAAGGGCACGCAGATTGGTGGAGGGATGTAACCTTCCTTCTGAGGAACAGGTTTCCCTTCCCTAAAAAGGCTCAGCAGGAGGATGGGAAGTGGGCGGTGACCAGATGGGGAAAGTTGGCATTCATCTGCCCCAGGGAGGCCACAGCAAACAGGTGTGCTGGTGCTCCAAAAGAAGTCACGTCCTCGTTTCTTAACTTCACTTCAGTTTTAAAACAAACGCTTGCATAAGAGCACGAGAGCTGGTGTTAGCGGAACAGATTCCGGTACAAGTCTGAAGAGGAAAAGCCCTGTGGGTGGAAGAGCCTACTGGCATCATCACTTGTGTGAAAAGACTCAGGAGGCTGCTGGAAGCCACATGCTCAAGGAACTAGCACAGTGCGAGGAAGGGAGGTAGGCAAAAATCCAGACTCCTCCATCTAAGGATGCAGGGCAGACAGCTGTGACCCCTGCGCTCAGGAGGATGCCCTGTGCTGCTGCTGGTCAAGCCGGCCCAGCTTCAGAGATGCTCACAAGAGCTGGAAGGTGGCAATTAAGCTGCTGGGAGTGAGTGTCCCAGGCTGCTCATGATGGACACGGAGGCTCCGCACCTGACAAGTGTCGAGTGGACTTCGCTGGCTGTGCAGGAGCCCAGCCCACAGTCGGCCAAGACGGGCCCAAATGAGGATGGCTTTTTGGGAGGGTCAGTGGCACCAGCCAGATGGCCTTGTAGTCCTCTCCTCTGGCACCCCTCTCTCTTCTGCCTCTTTCCTCCTGCTCCACTGTCCACCCTCCACACTCAGGACTGGGCATCTCTCTGAATTCTCAAATCTGTGCTTCCTGTGCTTAGCTTACATGAAGGGAGGAGGCGGGCTCGAATTTCCTGCCCAGCTGTTGTGAGAGGCAGAGCAGTGAAGGTTCCTGAAGGCCACAGCTCTGTGGTAGGAAAGGCCCCTGGACATGCGAGCTGGAAATGGGGGACAGGCATCACCATGGCTCACGCAGGATCTCTCCTTGCTGCTCTGGCAGCTACCCCTCAAGGACATGTGGCCATAACCTCCTGGGTCTCTCGGTTTAGGGATAATCCAAGGATTCAGAGAATGGTCCTCCTCCTCCATCAGACTCCAGCTTAGCCCGGAAGGACTGAGCGTGTTGAGGGAATTTGTAAGGTCACACTCTCAGGTGTATCTGAGCATGAACAGATCAAGGGTCTCTAAATGCAGGAATCCAGACAAACCTGTGACATCCAACCAACTTCAGGTCTTATGGAGCCAACTCAAAGAGAATTGCAAACCTCCAGAGGGGCCAGGGCTCGTGCAGCTGTTACTGTGGGTGGGTCCAGTCCAGAGCATTGCCACCACATTCTTCAAGGTCTGACCCTGACTGAACCAGGGCAGTGCCTTCATGGCCATGGGGGTTGCTAGCTCAACTCTGGCATTTTACTTCTGATTAAATCCTCAAGTCCCCATTGGCCACTTTTCTGTTTAATGTCTTAAGGACATAAAACCACACCCCATTTATGGGCATTAAACCAGCTTAAAATGGGAAAGGAGAGAGAGAAGAGATCAAACAGTGGGGTCAGGACAGTGAAGGTATACCCTGGTGGTGGGTGCTTCTGCCCAAGGGCAGCAGAGTGACAGCTGCCTGTGCCCGGCATGTCTGCACAAGGACAGGGGTTGCAGGAGGCATACTCACATCATTGGGAATGGTGAGCTCGTGAGTGCTGGCCGGGGGGCTGGCGTCCAGACCTGGGCACAGCAAGGGGACATGGTTAGGCTGGCAGAAGACTGCTCTCAGTCATACCCAGCACCCACACTCTACTGGGCCAAGAGGCAGGGCTAGAGGGCGGGCCCATGCGGGAGGTCAGCACAGCCCAGAAGCCCAGGACCCACAAATTTTCAGTCCCAGACTGCAACCCAACCTCTTGAGTCCCAGCTTCTCTCAAAAGAAGGAAAAACATGGGCCGGCCCGGTGGCGCACTCGGTAGAGTGCGGTGCTTGGGAGCGCAGCGGCGCTCCCGCCGAGGGTTCGGATCCTATATAGAGACCGGTCTGCTCACTGGTTGAGCGCAGTACGGGCGCGATACCGAGGGTTGTGATCCCGTTACCGGTCACGAAAAAAGACAAAAAGGAGAAAAAAAAAAAAAAAAAAAAAAAGGGAAAAACAAACCCAAGCAGAGTGATATTTCACTTTTTTGTTTTGGGTACAAAATGAACGATTTCACTCTCTGTGTGCTTGCAGATTCTCTTGTGAAAACTTACACAGACACCCTGGTGTGCCCTGGGCTAAGGGGCAGGGCCATTCAGCATGTCTCAGGCTCTCCATGGGTGCCCAGGGCCCATCGACCCTGAGTACCCATTCTCCCTCTGCTGTAGACTGGAATGCACCTCCCCCCACCGCCACTGAAGCTTAATCCTCACTGTGACTGCTGAGGGTGGGAAGTTCTGTCATGGTAACTGAAAGGGGGTGCCTTGAAGAGGTGATTGGATTGTAGGATCATGCTGTAGTGAAAGGATTAAAAATGGTGGTCAGGGGCGTGGTTCTGAGGGCTTTAAAAGGACAGTGCATGAGGAACTGTCCCTCTCTGCTTTCTCTGTTCCACCATCTTCCAATGTGAGACCCCTGGGTCACAGTCGCCACCACCACATGTGTTCCTTGGACTTCCCAGCCTCAGAAACTGTAAGCAATAAATTTCATTTTCTTACAAATTACCCTATTCCATAAGCAACAGAAACAGACTAATATGCCCTCGGTTCTCTGAAGCCCACTCTGCTCTACTCCTGCCCAGGCCTGACAGTGTCCGGCCTCCTCTGTGGCCTCTCTCAGCCCTGCTGCAGGCATCAGCCAATAGCCAAGCACACGCTGCATCTCCTTCTGTTTCTGGCCGGACTCTGTCCAAAGGCCACTGCAAGTCCGGCTTGGACAGCTCAAGGCCTGACAGTGTCCGGCCTCCTCTGTGGCCTCTCTCAGCCCTGCTGCAGGCATCAGCCAATGGCCAAGCACACGCTGCATCTCCTTCTGTTTCTGGCCGGACTCTGTCCAAAGGCCACTGCAAGTCCGGCTTGGACAGCTCAACCACTGTGCGGTTCTTCCAATTTGGAGTAAGGAGAACTAATAGCTTCACTGAGTCAAAAATAAACAGCTAGACCCACTGAAAGGCTGTGCATTTCTGTACAGGTATCTTATGCCAAGGAATGGAGATGTGGGTCTAATTCATCATCAAGCCCAAGTCTTCATCGTCACAAACTTCAGCTTGATACTACCAGATAACAGACAACTTCTCAGAGCTCAAGTACAGATCTGTCTTACTTCAGAAATAGTGGTGCACCGTGGGCTGTAGAGAGGGAAGCCTGGCCAAGGCCATAGCCATGTGAGCTGCACCAGAAGAAGGGGTATAGGCTGGGGTCTGTTCTTCTAGGGTAGATGTGCTCTCTGTATACTCAGCAATACCATCTCCTTGACAAGAGGTGGCTCAAACCCATAAGTCTAAAGCTGAGACCCTGCTCTTCCCTTCCCAGGCCCCACATGGTCCCTGGCTCAGGGATCCTGCAGCTCAGTCTGGACCCTGGAGACCTCTAGGCTCCCCCACTTCCAGCCATGGCAGACTGGATGATGTACCTTCTGAATCCCAGAATCTGAGCCTCCTCCTGCCCCAGTTCCTCTCTTGCTGGTCCTGCTCTGCTTTTGGCCCTCAGTTTATTCTCCACACAGCCCAGAGGGTTTCCCAAAAAACACACCTCAGATGCATTCTCGACCCCAGCAACCTTCCACTTCCTCATGGCTCCCTGACTTCACCCACTCTGTGTTCCAGCCACACGGCCCCACTGACCCCAGCCTCTGCCCTGCTCCCCTGTCCCCGCCAGCCATGTCCCTCCCTGGGCCCCTGTTCTAGGGTGGCTCATTCATAACCCCAACTCCCACCCACCCTGCTTCTTCCTCCATCGCACTGTGTCTCCAAACCAGCCACTCCTCTTGTGGTGCCAGCCAGTCTCCCTGCCAGGAAGCAACCCCATGGGGGCAGCACCTAGCATGGTGGGGGCTCAGCTGGTAGATGCTGAAAGAACCAATTCTTTCCAAGTCGTCTGTTATTTTTCTTTTGCATATCCAACCTAGAGTTTTTATTCCTTACCTTCTTTTAATAAAGACATTTTCAATACAGTGATTTGTTTATTCAACTATTTATACACATTCTATAGATGGTGACATTTAAAGTGTCATTTGAAAGCTCTCCTTATTCCTGCCTGAGTCCTAGCCAGGCCTTCCTGGGCAGCACAGAGCCTACAGTGAGCACAGAGCAGTGGGTCGCAGCTGCTGAACTTGGCATATTTTGATTGAGTGGAGGAGAGTATCAGAATTCTTTTTAAGAGAGCACTAAAATTAAACTAATAATTTAAAGACACACCTGTATAAAACATGTGTTCATTTACCTCAAGACAACATAGCTCAGGGGTGAGTATTTTAGGTGAAGATGAAGATAGTCTATGCACTGGAGGCAAACGCTGCTGCCTGACACAGAGCCCTGGCATGCTCCAGACAGTGTCGCTGACCAGCACCCAGAACTGCCACCATGGAATGCCTCTCGTCCTACCCACTGATTTAACCGGTTGTGGTGCCTGGGGCCTTCGTAGGGGAGGGTAGTCACAGGGCACCGTCCTGGTAGCCACATGGCCTACGTGGGGTGGAGAGGGCATGGTGCCTCCCACATGGGGACCCAGGGAACCAGCCAAGCCCCAGGCCACAGTCTCCCACAGCCTCAGGACTGGACAAACAACCGTGTCTGCTCTGCACCCTCAGTGCAGAATCTACAGGTCTGGGCACCACGCTGCAATGCCCAGGAACAGACACCTTACTGCAAATCAGAAGTTGGTGCAGACCAGCCCAGCACAGAATAATCTTTCTCCTTAAGGGTTTGCTCTCATCTCCTACAAAACATACTTTCAAAAAGCACATGCTGTGGTCATGTCTCATTGCACGCTCCACATGCTGCACCACCGTGAGAGTCAGTGACACCACAGACGGGCCTTCCCTGTGCACACGCACACTGACCAGGCTGCCTTCAGATGACCAGGTGGCTGTGCTCGGAGCACCCTCAGATCCACCATCCAACCAACAGCACCACACAGGTTGGTGCCACGCTTCTCAGCAGCGACCTGAGGCTTGTCCCCAGCCCCGAGCCACCAGAAGCTGCTAACCGTGCATACGTCGGTGCCAGGCACATGGGCTGTCCCTGGGATCACAGATGCGAGCGTGCCACCCCCTCCCGCTGGGATGGTGCTCTGCGCGGCCTCCCGGCCTGCTCGCCCTCCATCAGTGTGGTTCTGTTTTACCTGACGACTGGCCCATCAGATTTTGAGCTTCTTCGGAGGAGTGTAAAGGCAGCTTTTCTCCTGGAGAGCAAAGAAGAAACAGGTTTAATGTTTTGCCCTCAAGGAGATAAGCCAGGTCCCTTCAACTAGGGAAGCTCAAAATATGACTGGCACACACATGGCGCACACGCACGTCCACCGGGCACAGCTCTGCCTCTGTGGCGAGGGACCCTGGCTGCAGACACAGCCGGGCCAGGCTGCAGTGAGTGGCAGTGCCTGGGCCGGGGACTGGCTCCTGTCACTGCTTTCCTGGGGCAGGCTGGCGCCGTGCTGGGCCGGGCACCACCCAGGCACATGCAGCACTTTCTGCAGAAAAGTGCCCACATCTGCTTGTCTGAGCACTTGTTCATGGGGATAACACTCCAGGGTGCTCACGTGAGTGCATTCCACAGGAAGGGCCACCCCAGGATGGCCTGTGGGCAGCACAGAGACCGCAGAGCAAGCCAAGCTCTCAATGGGGGCGGACATCTCTTTACAAGCAAGGGTGCAGCAAGGCCAGCCGCAAGTACGCTAGCCCCCAGCGGGAGAGGCTGCCCCGCCCGCCCACCCCCGGTAGCGTGCAGACCCACTCTGTGACACTTGTTCTACTCACTGCACTGAGCACAGACAGTTCAGAAAGACAGTCCCCAGGTGAGAAGAGAAGGAGGTCAGAATAGGGCGGCTGGGTACGTACCGGGGAAAGCGGGGTTGGTCTGTCCGAGGGGAGGAAAGGGGGTTTGCTGCATGGCCAACTGGTGGAGCTTGGTCAACTGCTGGGGGTAGGAGGGACACGAGAGCTAAGAAGGTTATTGTCATCGAGTACAAGTCACACCAAATTTTAAAAAGGCAGTAACAGAACGTTGCACAGATAGATATAGAGGGCCATGCGGACACATGGCAGACGCACTGGACGCAAGGACTTGGCCTGGTGGAGCCCATGGAGCCTGGGCAGGACAGCAGGCCACCTGACCCCACCCAACCTCCCCTCTCACCAGGCCGGTGTGGAGGGAAGGCTCTGAGAGCTACAGAGCAAGGCCAGAGGGGCTTCTTGCAGATACAAAGTCAAGTTATCCCTCCCAGAACTCACGCTACCACCTGTGGGAAACCCAAGGCACCACTGCAAAATTTGCCCGGCCCCACCCCCCACCTGAATCACTTCTGGGGTCTTGTCATCTCACATGGTCTCATGTGGATTACAGGACGTTAGTGCCGGACAGTTCCATGCAGTGGGAGATGTTGGTGACACCGCAGGGGTGCACAGCTTCTGTTCAGAAGCCACCTGTCCCTGTGCCCTTGGGTGTCCCAGCCTTTCCTTGTCCCCTTCTCCACACCCATCCCCCAGCCAGACTTTTCGAGGGGGGGCTTTGAAATGCAGTTTCTCTAGTTATTTTGTCTGAGCCTCATCTCTTCACAAAAAACAAAGACTGAAGATAAAGTAAATGTGCTGAGATTAGGCCACGTTCTTTGAGCAGAAGGGCAGCCGACACTCGCACCCTCCACCCTTTGGAAAGTTTAGGCTGCTCGGCCAGGGGACAGTGGGGGGTGCCTTCCTTATGCCTGGCCCAGGGAGCCACACCTGGCGCTGGAGAGGGTGTCCCGGGGTGCCATCCCGGCTAGGGGGTGGAGGGCCACGCATGGGGGAAACGCACCCCCTCACCACCATTTTCCCACCAGAAAGCCGAACCCAAACGCATCCTGGCCCTACTGTGCCTGCCACCGACACAGGCTCCAGAGCCGGCCCTGGACTCTTGCTGTCCCAGCTCAACTTCTGAACTGCATGGCTGGGCTGGGGCTGTGAGAAGCCACACACAGACCACTGAGGCTGGCAGGTGGGGAGCAGGTGGAGTGCAGCTGGGGAGCAGAGCTGTCAGCACCGAGTGGGAGGGGCCGGCCATGGCACAAGTGTCTGACCAGACCCCTATGTGTGCCCCACTTGCAGAATCCAGGTCCTGGACCGGGACACTTGTCAGGAAGGCAGCGGCTGCCTTCACGCGCCACCACAGCTGGCCCTGCAGAGGGTGCATGGCCTCCCAGGAGCAGGTGCCCCTCCTAGGAATTCACCAAGGGTTGGATGAAGGCTCCTTATTAGTACCCAGTACCCACAGAGGACCAGGGGCTGCTCCCCAGCCTAGCCCATCCCTGAGAGCCTCTCAGCCAGGAGGGGGGATGGGGCTGGGCCTGTGGGAGCAGGGGCTCTGCTGTGCTGGCTGGTCACTCTGGCCTCTTCCTGCTTTCACAGGATGGGGTCCTGGCATGAGATGTGGCCTCCTGGTCACATCTTTGAGACAGAACCTCTGGGGGACAAGCCCCCAGGACTGTGGGGCATTTGTTGCTACAGCAAAAGCTGACAAATACTCGTATGGTCTTTCCTGGCCTGGCTCCTGGAACATCTGCCACTTCAGTGCATTCGGCAAGTACTCACACTGGGGTGCATCTTAGAAGCAGTCCCCCCTTCCAGGCCCCTCCTACCTTTTTGACTGTTCCCTGACCCTAGCCACTTGGGCTAGGCCTGCTTGGGGGAGACCTGGTTGCATCCTAGACCTGGTGAGGCCACTCCAGGCACAGCTTGTGTTTCTGGATAGGAAGTCTGGAGGAGCTCAGATTAGGACACATGGTGATGTGGGGTCAGGCTCAACTCTGAGTCCCCTGAAGTTGTGTTTGTCCAGGATGAAGTAGGGGCTGGAGGGCTAATGGCACACCTGTTGCCTGGCATGTCTCAGAGTGCTATCTGCCTGCCCCAAGTAGACGACGCCTGGTTCCTGTGTGGCTGCTGTCTGCATCTGCCCTGTAACTTAACACTAATGGACATGTTAAGTTACCTGTGGGGATATGCATTGAAGCCCCCTGACAAGAACACGCCCAAATACACAGTCACCAGAACAGCAGCTGAAGTCACAGGGACGACATTGAGCCTCCAGGAGAGATGCCAAGGCCCCACAAAACACTAATGGACATGTTAAGTTACCTGTGGGGATATGCATTGAAGCCCCCTGACAAGAACATGCCCAAATACACAGTCACCAGAACACCAGCTGAAGTCACAGGGACGACACTGAGCCTCCAGGAGAGATGCCAAGGCCCCACAGGGAAGGGGCCCTAAGGCAGCTGGAGACCCTGCCCCACCCTTGGGAGCAGCAGGAGGACACAGAAGCACACAGGCATCCTATGGAGTCTCCCTCCCTGGACATGTGGTGCATTACAGAAAGACCACGAGCAGCCAGACCAACATGTCCTGGGGCAAGGGGAGAGGAATGCAGGGAGAGACCGTCCATGAAGGAGCAAGGCCCTCCTGGTAATTTATCCACAGCCACTTGCAACTGAATTGCAAGGACTTGATCCCACAAACCACTGACTCCCACTTGATGGGCCAGGAGCCACCCAGGACGACACTGCATGAGGGACAGGGCCCGGGCTCTGGTTAGGAGACTTCGAGCTCGTTCAAGCACTTCCTGACAAGGGAGGTGACTACCCATGCCCAGGATGGAGTGAGCAGCCCCCAGCCAAAGGGTAAGAGCAAAGGCCCAGCAGAGCGAGGCTGGACGGCCAGGGCTGTGAGGGCCTGGCATTCCACACGCTCTGACCGCTGGCTGGGTTTCCACACAGACACGGGCCATGGTGAGCCTGAAGGGAGGTGCAGGGTGTGTGACCTGTGCTGGCACCCGCAGGCCTAAGCAATCCTGCCAGCTGCTCTCTGTGTCCCACTGTCCACCAGCAGCTGGGCTGGATGCTGGCTACAATCCCCACGAGGCCAGAGCCCTCTCTTGTGTGTCCCTGCATCACCTGTGTTGGTTAGGATGGCAACGGAACTGGAGGCAGGGAGCAGGGCACCCCTGGGCTCTGGAAGCAAAGAAACTGGCTTGAGGCGGCTCCAATTTTGATTAGTTGTGTGGCGATGTCTGGTCTCTCTGGACCTCAGTTCCCTAATACGTAAATAGGGGAATCTATGTGAGTGAACAGTGAATTGAGAAGTCCACACACCACTCATGATCAGTCACCGTAAACCACCAGGGCTCTCACATCTCAACTGCCTCAAGCTTGGTAACCTTGGGCACTTGTTCTGGTCTCTCATCAGTCAGGGTCGGCTCTGGAACCCACTGGCCAGCGTGTTACAGGTAAAAACAAGTAATTAATAAGGTTGGCTCCACTCGTATCCAAAGACTTCCTACAACTCTAACCTCTCTTGTGTCAATACATTTTCTGCCTCTTATGGAGAAGGGCCATGCTAATAAGTAAATCTCTCTTCTCTCTCCTTCCCACCCACAAATGTAACGTGGAGGTGAAGGGAAAAGCCTGGACCCGTGCGTGGTGGTGCCTGGTGAGCGTGTGCTGAGCGAAGGGCTGATGGAAGTGAGTGGTGTGTTCCTCACTGTGGCTGTGCCCTCCATGAGCCAAGCTGCTGCACCTCTTTAGGCTCCATTTCTATATTTTTTAAAGGAGGGAACAGACTGAGAGCTAAGGGGCCTTCCACTTTTTGAGACAATTCTGCTATGTGGAAATGTCAGACTTTTGGTTCTCACCAGAGCTTCAAAATCATTGGAGGGAAGGGATGAAGGAGGGCGGGGAGGGAGGGAAGCAGTAGGCAGGTACCACATTACAGACGTTTCTCTGCAGCTCGTCCTTTCCACTCAGCATCATATCAGACGAGCAACTGACATTATTCACAAGTGCATGGCTGCACGGGTGTCACACACGAAGGCGCCTGTGCAGCTGCCCTGCAGTTGGAACAGCCCACCACCATGGTGCTGTCCCCATCACGTTTCCATCCAGTGCGACTCTGGTCTGCGTCTTCTGCCCGTTTCTTGTTGGGTGGATTTCTGCTGGCTCACAGAACTCCTTGCACACTTCATGCTAGCCCTATTTCAGCTGTGCATGCTGCAGAGCCTTCCCCACTTGCCTTATGGTGTCTTTAGAGGAACAGAATTCTAAAATGTCAATGCAGTCAAATTTATCAATATTTTCCTTTATGGTCTGTGCTATGTTTTGAGAAATCCTTTCCTGACTTGAGAACAGAAGGACCTTCTCCTATATTTTCTTCTAAAAGTGCTAAATTTTTCTCTCTTGTGTTGAGGTTCTTGACATATAAGGAATGTTTTTTGCTTAAGTCATGAAGCCAAGAACGCTTTCCCCCTGCCTACTGTCCTGGCATCATTTATAGACCATCCAGTCTCTCCCAGGGTCTGTGCTGAGAGCTCGGTCACAGGCCAGGTTTCTTGACTGCGTAGGTCAGATCCTGGGTGCTCTGTTCTATTTGTCTCTCCTTGCACCCAAACTACACTGTCTCAATTATTATAACCTTATAATAAGCCTCTGTATCTGCTAGAACAAATCTCCCTGTCGTATCTTTTCTTCATAAATATCTTGATGGTTCTTGGCCTATGTTCCTCCATATAAATTTTAAAACAGCATGCTAAGTTCCTCAAAAAACTCTGCTGGAATTTTGATTGAAATTGAATTTGTCCATCAATTTGGAAAGAACTGACATCTTTAAGATATGGTGACATATTACTTGACAGGGATACTTCCTGAGATATGTGCTATGGGTGATTTTGTTGTGTGAACATCACAGAGTGTATTTACACAAACCCAGGTGGTATGGCCTACTGGGCACCAAGGCTAAATGGTATAGCCCATTGCTCCCAGGCTACAAACCGGTACAGCATGTTACTGTACTGAATATTGCAGGCAACTGTAACCTAATGTTAAGTATTTGTGTATCTAAATCTATCCAAACATAGAAAAGGTATAGCAAAAATATGGTATACAAAAGATA